TATTCTGTGTTGTTGTTGGCGGAGCTCTCTGCCATACGTCCACCGGTTCCGCCATCTTGTTTGTTCCCTGCCCTCTTTTCTTATCAGCTGGACACTTCACTCTCCACTCTAGTCCTCCGCAGCTGTGTCTGTCACTGATTGAGCACAAGGTTTTAAGAACTCAGATGCTACTCACCAAACTAGGATGTAAAACATTAACCTCTATGAGCTGTTTTGCAAATTGACCTAGATGTCCCCTGAGACTATGGTCTTCAGACTTTAAGTTCAGTTCAGCCCGATACGTAAGTAGTTACTATAATTGTGCACCCTATGTGCTCTATTATAAGGAGCTCTGGTAGCGTAGTGGTTATAAATCGGGCTGCGAACCTTACGGTCAGCAGTTCGAAACTACCAGCTGCTCCGCGGGAGAAAGATGAGGCTTTCTACTCCCGTAAAGATTTACACCCTTGGAAACCCTATACAGGGTCGCTATGGGTCGGAACCGACTCAATGGCACATAATAACAACAACAACATGTGCTCTATTACATGTTGTTATTAGGTGCTGTTGAATTGGTTCCAACTCATAGTGGCCCTACGATATATACATGAGTATACATCAAGGAACACTAGTGGCACAGTGGATTAAGCATTGGTCTGTAAACAAAAGGTTGGCAGTTTGAAGCCTCCAGTCACTCCATAGAAGATGAGGCCATCATATTCCATAAAGATTTATAATCTCAGAAATCTTAAGAGGCAGTTCTACTTCATTTTATAGGGTCACTGTGAGTCTGGATCAACAGCAGTGGCTATATGCAGCATTTGCAATTATGTACATAAAAATATCTACCACCAGACATAACATATGTATTGCATTGGACACATCTGCTGCAGAAGACCTCTTTAAAGTATTAAAAAGCAAAGATGTTACTTTGAGAACTAAGGTGTACCTGATCCAAGTCATGGTATTTTAAATCACCCCATATGCATGCGAAAGCTGGACAATGAATAAGGAAGACCAAAGAATGATTAATGCCTTTGAATTGTGGTGTTGGCAAAGAATATTAAGTATACCATGAACTGCCAGAAGAACAAATAAGATCTGTTTGGGAAGAAGTACAGTAGAATGCTCTTTAAGAGCAAAGACAGTCAGAGCTCATCTCACGTATTTGGGTCATGTTATCAGTAGAGACCAGTCCCTGGAGTAGGACACCATGCTTGGCAGAGGGTCAATGAAAAAGAGATGGATCGACAATGACCGTAACAATGGGCTCAGAGATTGGAAAGATGGTACCGCATAGGGCGATTGTTCGTTGTGATACATCGGGGTGCTGAGTCAGAAGTGAACTGATAACACTCAACAACATACATATATATGTATGCAGGAACATTCCAGTACAACCTCCCTCATCTTTTTAGTGTACATATTTATCTCTGTTATTTGGAAAAGAAAAGTTACTGCTTTATTGACATTTTTAAAATGCAAAGAGACAAGGAAATCTTTGTCACCAACCATGTCCCTGAGGAGGGGAAAGAAGGGTATATTTAGTGTACATATTTATCTTGGTATCTACTCACAAACTACTGTTAATTATCATTGCTGTAGCAGAATTGTTATATTGCTGTTGTTCTGAATCTAGCAACCCTGCTTTCGAGTTTGTACCACTAGCCTTGCAGTTAGCAGTCCAGAGCTTATCTTTTAGCACTACACAAGAAATGTTCCAGCATTTACCAGAGTTGTCCTTTGTTCTGGTGCACCTCTCACTGTCTTCTTTGCCTTGGTCATATACTGACTTCCCTGGCTTTCTGTATTGCCTTTCCCTTCCCCAGAATGAACTAGTTAGTGTTACTTTCCCTCCTTGGTTACTGTCAAACAATGTTTCTACTTACAATGTTTCTACTTACTCTTAACATTTTATAATAGTCGTCTCAACAATTATTTGTCCCTTTGTGTTTGACTTATTTCATTCAGCATAATGTCCTCCAGACTCATCCATGTTGTGAAATGTTTCATGGATTTATTTGACTTTATTATTGTATGTATATATCAGTTTGTTTATTCATTCATCCATTGACGGACACTTAGGCTGTTTCCATCTTTTTGCTATTGTGAATGATGCTGTGATGAACATGGGTGTGCATATGTCTATTGCTGCTATAAACATTGGTGTGCATATGTCTATTGCTGCTATAAACATTGGTGTGCATATGTCTATTGCAACTTGTTCTTTCTCTAGGATATATAGCTGGGAGTGGGGGTTGCTGGATCACATGGTATGTGTATTTCTGGCTTTTTAAGGATGTGCCATCCTTTTTCCATGTAAGTACCACAAGCTAACTGTGTCATTGGAGCTCTGGTATATGTACTGGTTACGAGTTGAGATGGTAATCTCAAGGTCAGCAGTTTGAAACAACCAGCTGTTCCGCAGGAGAAAGATGAGGCTTTCTGCTCCAGTAAAGATTTACAGCCTCAGAAACCCTGTGCAAGGTCACCATAAGTCACAACCGAACTCCACGGCACACCACCACCACTGCCGTCCTATTTCCCATAGTGGTTATAGCATTTTATAGTCACACCAGCAGCGTAGATGAATTCCAATCTCTGCACAGCTTCACCAGCATTTGCTGTTGTGGTTGTTTTAAATCAGTGCCATTATTGCTAGGGTGAAAAGCAGTGGTTTGGTGCTGGTACAACAAAAAGGAAAGGAAGTTGAGTCTCCAGCCCACCTTCTCCCCCTCACTTCAGAGCCCAGAGTGCAGGAAAGGCAGATTTCATGTCTTTATTATTCTTTGTCTCAGATATAAAATCAGACTCTCCCAAAGTTCATTCACCTCAGAGAGAGAATCTAGGATAAGAATCACATTGCTAACTAAAAAGAACAGGCTCATTATCTGTCTTCTGCCCTCCCCCAGCCCCCAATCTGGGAGAGCAAGGGGCAGGGGTCACAATCCCCAGGCTCCAACAGGATGCTAAGGTCCATCAGTGTTTGTCAGTGGGGCGCAGGTTCAGGGATACGGAGCGTCCCAGAGGTCCACGGCGCATGTTGATAGCCAGCCGCTGCTGTGCCAGGAAGGACTGAGCGTGGGCTGGTGCCCGTTCTTCTCCAGTCCTCTGCTGCAGGGCCATGCCCTGGAGGGGGGAGGAGAGGGCTAGGTCAGGTGACTCATGGGATTCCCACCTCTCTGGCCACGGTGACAATGCACTCACCATGTTATACCAGGCACTAATGAGTAGCTTTTCTTCCTGCTCCCGCTGACTTCGACTCTTCTCAAAGTCCATCTGCCAAGGAAGCAACAGTGAGAGGCCCGGAGAGGTGGAGCCAGAGTGAGGGAAAAGGATATTCACCTCCAGGTGCCGGATGCGGACGTCCCGCTCTCGGAGTTGTGTGCGCAATGTGTGGAGAGCTGGAGGTGCAGCCCCAGGTGGTCGATGCTTGGGTTCCATGGTCTGCATGATCTAGGAGTTGGGGAAGACACAGCCAGGGTGAGCTCACCTTACCAGCTCGTTCTGCCATCTTGGGTGTGTGACATGTGACAGCCTGTGTCAGTGGGAGTGTGGAGTCAATAATACAGTGGAGCATCACAGGTGTGGGAATGTGGGACAGGGAAGCATGCACTGGTGAGAGGCATAAGCCAATGGGAGTTGAGACTTGACAGAAGGCGCAGGGGTGGGGACCATGTTGAAGCGCCCCAGCAGGAAGCCCATGGTGACCTGCAGCATCCTCACCGTGCGCGCCTTGTCCACATAACGGCGGCACCGCTCCTCCATGGCCCGCAGGTCTGCATCCTTCTTCTGCAGGTTGTGCTGCAGCTCCTCAATGCGCTGGGCTGCTGGGAGGAATGAGGTGGCCCTCAGCTCTAGGTCCAGCTCTTCTCCCCCAGCTGTAGGACGTCCCTCCTGGGTTCCACTTACTGCTGCTGTCGGCAGGTGGTTCCAGCTCCTCAATGTACTCACGCTTCCGCTGCAGCTCCAGATCGGCCTCGTGCAGCTTCTGTCTGCAAGCAGGGGAGGGACAGCAGCAAGCTGACTTCCAAGCTCTGCTTTTCCTCTCCTCCTGGGTGGCCACAGCCTCCACAGCTGGCCCAAAAGGCTCCTTTTCTGGCCACCAAGACCTCTATGCCTGTTTCCCAGCCCCAGATAACCTTGCCGTAATAGCTCTTCAGTCACTGACTAGAGCCACAATCTCCATGCTTCTAGCCCCATGGACCTTCTCCCATCCCACAGGCCTCAGCTCTGGCCTAGCCACCATCCTCCCTCCACAGCCTCTTCCAACCCCACTCTGCAGTTTCATTCTCTACCAGGCATCAGAGAGATCTTTCTAGAATGTGTATCTCTTATAGTAGAAGGAGATGCTAACCAAAGCTTCACAGATCTGTCATTGATGGCAAAACACCAAAGACTTCTGACAGACACTCTGTCTGTGAAACTGTTGCACAGTGGACAGGGAACATAGTATATATAACATTCAATAGTGGACAAAAATCACAAAGGCTTATGTTTAGACCCAATTCCACTTGTGTGATATATTTACACATAAAGTTATACTCTGCTGCATTATTTGAAATCACATATGCCAGAAAGGACCAGCTACATACATAATAATATTCAGAAACAAAATGGGGCAAGTCAGCCCATCTGGACCAGAATTCTACAGATGAATTAAAGTCTAGTGCCCCAAGACAACCATCCTCTGTTCTCTGGAATTTATCCTGGGAAAACTAAGAAAACATCTGCTAGGCTTCATTTTTCCACAGACCTCCAGCGAATAAAATCTGCTATCCTTGTAAATATATATTTTGTTTTTCTAAATTTATTCGTGGACTCCTGGTGTGGTGCTGTAGGATTAGCACTAGACTTCAAACCACAAGGTTGGCAGCTCAAACCCACCAGCTGCTCCTCGGACACTCTAATCAGGGTAGCTATGAGTCTGAGCTGACTCTATGGCACTTAACAACAACAATGTATTTATTCATATGGGTAAATTTCCAGCCAATTTATTAAGCAGAAATAGCAAATTACAGATGGATACATATCATGACACCACTTGTATAGATACGAGATGAGACTAAAAATCTGTATTCACATTCACTTGCATTGGCTAGTAAAATGCTGAAGGGTTTCCATACAAACTGATAGGAATGGGGGTGGAAATTGAGCCAATGGGGTAAGCTGGGAGGTACACTGCTTGTTTCTGTATAGCTTGGTATATAAGTCTTGGAGTTTTGCTTTTTTTAAAATCATCTTAGTTTTTGAAGCATAAGTTTGATAGCTATTTAGTTTCATATAGATATAGATATATATAGTATCAAAAGCAAGAAAAGTATCACTTTATCATATTCCCTCCATGTCTAAAACCCTTTTCATGGCTCCCCAGAGGTCTACCCAAACAGTGATAACTCCTTTCCTTGAGCGCCCTCACCACAGCACATCACATTTACCCCCCATCTTTATTCAGGCCCTGGCTCTCCTTACCGCCCACCACCCATGCCCTCCCTCTGGGACTCACAGATGCTCCTCCAGCTTCCTCTTCAGCAGGGTGGGCTAGCGGGAAGAGAAGAGGCAGGAGATGAGTAAGTAGTTCAGAAGTCCTGAATGAAACCCCTTCCCAGGTCAGGCGCTACTCTCAGCCCAGTCTACTTACAATGGCCTGCAGGGGGCATCAGGCAGCAAGGGGAAGAAAGAGGAGGGTTACTGGGAGGGTTTGAGGGAGGGTCACACAGAGAAGAGGTGGGCACTCACATCGTCGCTCTTGCCCCCAGGCTCCTGATGGGTCTTCTGCAGATCCTCCACCTGGGCCCGCAGCTCCGAAAGCTGCTGCTGGTTCAGTCTGCCGGGTGAGGGCCGCTCAGTGCCTGTATCCCCTCTCCCATCCCCTTGGCTCCCACGGGGCCCTTTCTGCTAGACCCTCACTGCTAAACCCTCACCGGTGCTGCGTTTCCAGGCTGTGGCGTGAGCGATTGGCCTCCTCTAGGTGGCGCTGCAGCTCCTCCTGCCGCTCGCGGTCGGCTGCCTCCTGCTGGCACAGCCGCTTGTTCTCCAGCTGAAGCCTCAGGAGTGTCTCCCTGTCCAGTGAAGGGTGAGCAAGGCTGAGGACTAGCTAGCCCGCACGCCCTAGGGAGGGGCGGGGAGTGGGGGTGGGACAGAGCTCTGGAAACGACAGGACCAGGGTGCTGGCAGCGGGGTCTAAGTATGGGTAGGGAGAGTGCTGAGGGCAACTAAGTGGGGAGCCAGAGTGGGCAGGGCTACAGGAGAAAGAACAGTGGAGATGGCGCAGGAGAAGGAGGGTTAGGCAGGGCTGGGGTGGGCAAAGCACAGGGGACTGAAGCTAGCAGAGGCTTGGAACTAGAAGCAGGAGGTACAGCTAAGGGTGGGGTGAGGGTTCTAGGGACCAGCCAGGTACCAGCTAGAATGAACATAACTAGTGGTGGGTGGGGAATTGGAGGCCAAGAGCGATGTGGGCAGAGCTTGGCAGAGTATTTGTGCACTGGGAGTGTGGCCACATTTGTTGGACATAATTTGTACACTGACAATGGATCTGCAAAGGCGCAGTTGTGGAATAGGGATAGGGGCCCTGGCCAGGTAAGGGGAGGATTAGAGGAGTAGGCGGGGCTAGGAGCTGGGCTGACCCTAGGAACTGAGTCCACACTGAATGAATAAGGTTCATGCACTGGTGGTGGGTTGAGGGCAGGCCTGGGTGGGGCCAGAGCTCTCAGCCCCCAGGTTACCTGAGTTCAGTAGGCAGGATCTCTGCAGCTAAGTTTTCCACAGCCTCTGTGGTGGGATCAAGTGAGGGGTCTGAAGAATACAAAGACATTCCTCAGGTCTCTGCATACCCCTACGCCACACCTCTCTACTCCTCCAAGAGTCTTCTTTCCAAGAATCCCGTTTAGGGCTGAAGTTTGGCCAAAAGCCTGGCTTAACACAGCCCCACTCTGGATAGAAAGGGAGCCAGGATGCTCTGCTCCTGAACCCCAGAGGAGAGGCCCCTGCCCAAACTGCCCCTTTCTCATTTAGCCTCCCTCACAGACTTTAGCTCTGCCCCCAGCCTAGACAAGTCCTTTTAGCCTACCTTAAAAGCACTCTAAGGGAGGGGAAAAAAAGTAGTCTAAGAAGGTTTGGTGGTGCAGTGATTAAGAACACATTTGTAAACTGAAAGACCAAACGTTCAAACTCACCAGTTGTTCCTCAGGAAAAAGATGTGGCAGTCTGCTTCCCTAAAGTCTTGAAACCCTCTGGGACAGTTCTACTGTGTCCTATAGGGTCACTATGACAACCAAAAACCTACTAAAGTCCAGTCAGAGTCATTGTTAATACTGAGTGACTCACAGGGATCATGACAGGGCAGAGCAGAACTGCTTTATAGAGTTTCTGAGCCTGCAAATCTCTACAAAAGCAGATTGCCTCATCTTTCTCCCACCAAGTAGCTGGTGGGTTTGAACCTGCAGCCATTAGGCCACCAGGGTTCCTAGGTTCATGATGAGTTGGGATAAACTCAATGACACTGAGTTTGGTTTGGGTTGGGGTAACCCTTTTCCAGGTCCAAGTCTTCAGGTCCCCCCGGGTGGGGGTCCAGCTCACCAGCCTGGGTCAGCCCCCGAGGCTGCAGCTGGGCACAGCGTAGTTCCTCATTGGTCTCTCGCAGGGAGTCCCGCTCTGCCAACAGCCGCTGAAGGAATGGGGTATAAGATCCACAAGAAGAACCCTCAGCTTCCGAGGAACTGGGCTACCCCACAGGGCTCAGGGCTGGGTTTGAGACGCCTCACCTCCTTCTCCTTTGTCACTGATTCATATTTTTCCTCCAGGTTGCGGCACTCAAAGAGCCATTTCTCAGCCTTCATGGCCTCCTCCTGCCGCTGCCCCTGCAGTTCCTGCACCTAACAGAGGATGGACGCCACACGGTTGGCAGGAGGGGTAGGGACTAAATACAGGGTGAAGGGGGGCGGACCAGGAAGACTCTCCACTCCATACCCTCCCGGACGCCCAACCCCCATCCGCGCAAAGAACTTAAGGGGGCACAGCAGTTTAAGTTAGGGACAGGGCTTACAAGACCAGATTGAGAAGCTGACCTGGGGTGGGAGGGAGGCCTAAAGGCGCGTGGCCTATATGAAAATGAGGTGAGCGCTCAGGGCTGACAGCCCCGTGCTGAGACCGCGCAGGAACTCTCCCGCCCCCAGCCCCGCCCCTTGTCCCTCCCACTGCCTGCCCCGCCCTCACCTGCCGGCGCAGCGCCTCAAGCTGGGCCCTCAAGGAGCTGGCCCGGCGCAGCTCTTCCTCCAGCTGCCGCGTGCGCTCCGCATGGCCCGCATTGCGCTCCTCCAGCTGCCGCACCTGCCTCCGCAGCTCCGGCAGCTCGCCCAGGCGGCGCCGGCAGCCGCTCAGCGTGGCCTCCAGCTGCCCAGCCCGCTCTGAGGACTGCCTGAGGGAGGGGGCAGGGAGGCAGGCGCCTGAGGTCAGGCTAGGAGGCTTTCCGGGCAGGCGAGGGGGTTCAGCTGGGGCATTTGGGTTCAATGTGAAAGGGTCATGGGGATGGGGGTGCTGGTGTTGTTGGTGGCCTTTTGGGGTCGTGAGGAATTGCCAGGCATCAATGGTTAGAACCAGAGCCCTAGCTCAGGATCCTCAGGAATAGAATTGTGGGGACACAGAAGGCTGTAGTGGGGGGTAGTGGAGGCCCAGAAGTGGCTGAGGAGCCTCCAGGGGGAGCCTGTGAGGCAATGGCACTGTGTGTGTGTGTGTGTGTGTGGTGGGGGGGCACTTTAGCATCATAGGGATACTGTGAGAATCACACTTGGAGACAGCAATGTCTAGGAGGTGAGTGCTCTGGAGGTCCACCAAGACCTTTGGGGTTACAGAGGTTATGGAGGGCAGCATGGGACCAGGATGTGACTTGGCCCAGAATGCATTACGTCTGGGGAATACTGTGAGGGGCCTAGGCTTGTCAAAGTCACAGGGATGCTGTGGAATCTGAAGGGCACAATATGGGTAATACTGAAGAGGTAGTGTGGGGTCCTGGGAACACTAGGGATTCAGGGAGCTTAGTGGGGTCCAGGAGACATGAGGGGTGCAGGATGGTACAATAGTGTCGGGGGGGAGGGTTACTGTGAAATCCAGGGGGCATGGTGGAGTCTGGAAGACATTATGGGGTCTCATGGGGACTCCTGGTATAGCACTGTCATTGAACCACAAGGTCAGCAGTTCAAGCTCACCAGCCACTCCTCAGAAACCCTATATAGTGTCGCTATGGGTCAGAACCAACTTGACAGCACTTTAACAACAACATGGGGCATTTGGGGGTTCCAGACATGCTGTGACATTGGAGGGACACTCTGGAAACAGGGCATTGTGTGGGGTGGGGACTCAGGGCTCACCACTCACCGCAGCTCATCCATCTCATCCTTCAGGGCCTGTGCTTCCTGCGCCAGGCTGGTCAGCGCCTGGTTCCGCTGTTGCAGCTCAGTGACTTCCTGCTTCAGCTCAGCACAGTGCAGACGGTCATCCTCCCTACTGCTCTCCAGCCTAGGGTGTGAGGGGCCACGTGAGGGAGGGGCCAGTACCCACCTGGTTCCCTAGTCTACCCAGTCCTCTGTCCACCTGGCCACACCTGAAGTTCTCCTCCTGCAGCTGCTCCAGCTGGGACTGTAGCAGCAACAGCTTCTTGGCGGTGAGGCCCATGGCCCCCTCACCCTCTGTCCGGCCTACTTGCTCCCGCAGTACCACATTCTCCTGGGCCAGGCTCTGCTTCTCCTCCGACAGGAGCACTAGCTGAGGATGGGGTTGGGCATGGGCGAGCTGGAACCAGTAGGGGGCTATGCTGGGGACCCTGCCCCAGGAGCACTAGTGTCCCCCACCTTGGCCCCACCTGTCGCTCCAGGTCCAGACAGCGCTGCCGCAACTCATCCCCCTCCTCCGCCTCCTCACTCAGGAAGTAGTATCTGCGGGACTGAGGGAATAGGCAGGGAACTCAGGGATCCAGAAGTGGGATTGGGAGAAGAAAGGTTGGGGTTTCTAGACTCAGAGAGAAAGGGACCTAGAAACTCTCATGATTTAAGGAGAGAAAGCTGAAACCCCAGGGACTGGGGAAGGGCCATTCAGAACACTAGGAACCTGGCAAGGGAGGAAGCTAGGTGCCTGATGGAAGGAGGTGGATTACAGGCTTATGGACAAGGCCCTTCTCCTTAGGCGGGCCTGAGGAGTTGTTACCTTTGACTTTAATAAACCACCTCCTCACCTCTTACCTGGCTGTCAAAGTTCCCATATGTCTCCAGGGACAGGGAGTCTGAGGTTTCTTTGGTCAGGAGCTGGGGGAAGGCAGCATAAAGATAAGCTGGGCCTTCTCCAACCTCCTGTTCCCCAAGGTCAGCACTCCCCGATCACCCCAACCCCTAATGCTGCCCTGTGTCAATCATACAGGATGGCTGAGTCTTTTGAACCTTCTGCCTTGTAGTTTGGAGCTGTTCGGAGCTGGCAGACACACAAGACACATGTCTGCACAGCCAAATGCCAAGCAGAGCCCAGACCTTCCCAGGGCAGGGCCAGTGCCCAGTTCCCCCGGCCCTGATGCTCTTCAACACACTGGGCATCTCCACCCACCTCCTGGATGGCTTCCATCACTACGTGCTGAACAGATTCCTCCAGCGTCATGATTCTCTGGATGTGCTCTGGGGATCAAGATAGGGAGACTGAGACCTGAATGCGCCAGGCTGGGGAGGGTGGAAGACTTCCTCAGGCTGTCCCCTGGAGACTCTCTTGCCCCCTTCATACCCTGCTTTTTCTCACAACTGATGGCACAGCCCAATACCAGCTGAAGCAGCTTGCCAAGCTCTGCAGGGTCTGAGAATTCACCAATGAGGTTCACGTCTGGGAGGTGTTGTTCAGACACAGGGTGTCCCAGCACCTGAGGACAGGGGTGAAGTTGGTATCAGGGACACACAGACCCTCACTCTCCTCCATCCGAACCTGCTGAGTTCCTTTAAAGTTACTCACATGCTGATAGTATTCCATCAGACTCTGTAGAATCTTCTTCAGATTACCAGCCTAGGGAGGGACATGGGACATTATGTCTAATGGCCCACAGCCCCCCAGAAGGGGTCAGGCAGCTCCATCCTTTTTTTCTCCACCTCCCCTCGCAATCCCTGGTCATCTTATTCAGTTTGCCCCCATTCTCTTTCTGAAGGTACCCTCTCCTTGGGGACATTCTCCATGGCAGTCTGTGCTTCTTGTCCACCTGACCATCTTGGTTCACATTTCCCATGAATCCAATCACTTCTCACTACTTGCACCCCCTCACACCCAGGATTACTGTCTCAGCCCTCTTAGCTTCCACTATGCTGCCTACATGCCACTACTCTCCAATCCACCAGGGGGAGCTTTCTAAAACTCAAGCAAGGTTGTGTCTTTCCTCTGCTCCAACCTTTCCTTGACTTTTCATAGCACTTAAAATAGTCAGCCTGCATCCCTACCCTAGGCCTGCCAGGCCCCTGATGACCTCATCTACCATTCTCACCTTCTTATACTCTCTGGTCTAATTTCCCTGCCATTCCCCCATCACACCAAGCTTATGTATGACTTCGGAGCCTTTATCTGGTGCTGCTACTGAATAAGCACTGGACTGCTAATCAGAAGGTCAGTGGTTCAAACCCACCAGTGACTTTGTATGGGAAAGATGAGGCTGTCTGCTTGCATAAAACTTTACTGTCTTGGAAACCCTATACAGAGCTACTGAGAGTCTGTATTGAATATGAAGAAATTGACAAGAAAAAAAGCACACTAAAAATGAACACAGCACAGGAAAAAATATGAAACAATGAAACCAGCAGCTCCACAAAAAACACACACAGCAAAATGACTGCAATCAATTCATATCTATCGATAATTACACGGAAGGTCAATGGGTTAAACACACCAGTCAAGAGACAGAGAGTACAGAGACAACGTGTACAGATGGAGTGGCTGGGGACACTAAACTCAAGGAGGGAGAGGGGCTGTGTGCTGACAGCCGGGGGGCGGGCCTGTGGGGTGTACCCTTTGGTTATCTGATGATGCATGAGGGGATTGTAATCATTGCAATGAAACGAAATATGATAGGATGAATGTAAAACTGATATTCTTCCATGTAAACCTCACAATAAAAACATATTAAAAAAGAGAGAGAGAGTAGCAGAATGGATAAGAAAACAGGATCCTTCGATATACTGCCTACAAGAGATACACCTTACACTCAAATTCAAATATAAATTCTAAATTAAAGGGTGGAAAAAAATTTTTCAAGCTAATGGCAATAAAAAACGAGCAAGAGTGGCAATATTGATCTCTGAAAAAATAGACTTTAAGGCAAAAACCAGCATAAGAGACAAGAAAGGACATTATCCCATGATTAAAGGGTCAACTGAAAACGAGGGTATAACCATAATAAATATCTATGCCCCCAATAAAAAAGCCTTGAAAAACCTGAATCTAACTCTAATAAAATTGAAGACAGACATAGATTATTCTACAATAATAGTAAGTGGGTCTGTACTGCGTGGCAATGGGTTTAAAAAAAAAAAATATATATATATATATATACTTGCAATAGGCGCTCTGATGGCATAGTAGTTAAGTGTTCAACTGCTAACTGAAAGGTCAGTGTTTAAACCCACATGCTACCAAGGGAGAAAGACATGCCTATCTGTGCCTGTACACATTCACAGCCTAGGAAACTCAATGGAGCACTTCTACTCCTAGGAGTATGGTATGAGTCAGAATGAATTTGACAGCAGTGGGCTTGGGTGGTTTGGTTTAATAATGCAATGGTTAAGCACTCATCTGCTAAAGGAAAGGTCAGCAGTTCAAATCCACCAGTCATGTAAACAGTGACAAAAACCTAGCAATCTACCTCTATAAAGATTAAGTAAATTCCAACTCATAGCAACCCTGTAGAGGGTTTCTGAGGCTATGAATCTTTACAGGAGCAGAAAGCCTCATCTTTCTCCAACACAGCAGCTGGTGGGTTGGGTTTGAACTGCCAGCCTCTTGGCTACCAGTTCACTGCTTATCCTACAGCAGCACCAGAGTTCCTCCTAGAAAGGTTATAGACTAGGATGTACTAAGGGACAATTCTATCATACAGGGTAGCTATGAGTGGGGATTAACTCAATGGCAAAAAACCCCAACGACATACCTGGAATGCCCTTCTTCTTAATCTCATGTGGGGAACAGCCCATCTCAAGTAACCACCCAGCCACCTCAGTAGCTCTCATGCTCCTGCTTTTCTTTCTAAGACTCCCTGCCATTGAAAATGAATTCTTTATGTTTATGTAAGTATTATTTCCCCACATCACTAGGATGTCAGCTAGTGTAAAAGCAGGTTTTGGTCTATCTCCTTCCTTGCTTCATCCCTACACCTGGCAGGCAGTGGGTGGGTGTTCAACAGAGTGAATAAGAACAATTGGTTGACTGGCTACTGTACACCTGTCTCCCTCCCTAGGTCTGTCTGTGCATCACCCAGGACATATGTCTTCATCAGCCTGTCCCCCAGTCACAAGTCCACCTGTCACCTTCAGTATCCAGTTGTGACCTGGGTCCTCTGAGATGCCCTGAAGCCATGCCTCGTTGAACCAGGACGGGTCTCTGGGGGTGAGAAGGTGGCATGAGCTTGGCTGGGTCCCTTTTGGGACCCTCCCCCTCAGCCCCACTCACATCTGGTTCAGCACATGGGCCACTGCAAGGCCGCTGCTCAGGTCCTGTGGGCTGGCACAGAGGAACGGAACGTGGAAAGTCTGCAACTGAGGTGACAGGAAAGCAGAAGGGGATGTGTTAACTCAGGGACCACCGAGCCACTCCCCTTTTTGCATACTTTGAGATATGTCAGCAGGATCTTCATGCCTAGTGCTGGGACTAGCCTGTTGCTCCACCACACCAGGTGGGCTCTGTTCACCTGGAACCAGAAGGGCCGTGACCTTACCTCACCTTTGCCCAACAACCCCAAGCAACCAGAAGGCGGAACCAGGAGTCATCTGAACCTCACAGGAACAACGTCACCAATCGCCTCACCTGTGCCCCTGCCCCACGTGACCCAGCCACAGAGGGGCGGGGCCTCACCTGGTCTTTCCAAGCCGACCTGCCACGTGATGGGGGCGGGTGCTCAGGCCAGAGTCCAACGGCCCCATAGGCCCGCGACCCCTTCCTACTCCCAGCCCCAGACAGAGAGGCGGGCTGAGCCAGGGTCGGGACTCCGGGGCGAGAATAGCGGGTGCACACCTGTCCCCGGCCCCGCCCCCGACGTACCCAGGTGAGCAGAGACCCGCATAGCTCTGCCTTGTCCACACTCATGGCTTCCGATTGGAATCGACCCCGGCTACAGAGCCGCCGCCGCCGCAGCCACCTCTGGGTCTGCCACTAGCGAGCGCCTGTAGCCCCGACCTCCCGCTCGGCCTAGAGCCCCGCCCCGCCCCGCCCCCTAAACGCAGGGCCCTCCCTCGTCATGTGATCGGTTTCCGTTGCCCTCTCGCCTTCGTCTCCACCATCTTGGTTCCGGGCAGAGTTCATGTGTCTGCCTTGCCTCTAGAGGTCAGTCTACTCCAGCCTTACGCAACCCAAAGGTGGTCAGCCGCCCCTCCTACCCGGCTCTTTTGGGGGTAGGGGAACTTCACAATCAGTATCTGAGGCCGAGCTGCCACACTCTTTTATACAAACGTATTCACTTCCTTCAAACTGTAAGGAATTCTATTTAATCACCGCCCTCTTACTGCCGTGACAGTTTTCTATGATTGGAGCTTTAGTGTGCGTGTTGACTTACAGAAAATAAAAAACCAAACGTGATTACGATTTATAGTAACCCCTAGTCTAGCCCCTGGTGGGTTTGAACTGCCTTGCAGTTCAAACAGCGACCTTGTATAGGGTTTTTGAGGAGTGGATGGTGAGTTTGAATCACCGACCTTGTAGTCCAGTGCTTATCCTGCAGCTCCACACTAGGATTCTATTCAGGGCACCTTAACAATAAAATCGCATTCACCATGCATTATATACTATTTACAGCCCCTTGGCTAAGCAATGTTAAGTGTCATAGAGTCAGTTCTGACCCACAGCCACCCTGTGTATGGTTTCCAAGAAGCGACTGGTGAGCTTGAACCCATGACCTTTCGGTTCAAGCCGATTTTGCAGTTCAGCGTATTAATCCACAGCACCACACCAGGAGACTCCCATATCAGGGTTCCTCAGAGAGTGGGATAAGGAGCTTTGGTAGCGTAGTGGTTATGAATCGGGCTGTGAGCCTCAAGATCAGCAGTTCGAAACTACCAGCTGTTCCGCGGGAGAGAGATGAGGCTTTCTGCTCCCGTAACGATTTACAGCCTCCGAAACCCCCGTACAGAGTTGCTATGAGTCGGAACCGACTCCGCGGCACATAACTACCACCACCACCAGAGTTGTAGTTGTTGTTGTTAGGTGCCATCAAGTCGGAACCGACTCATAGCGACCCCCATGCACAACAGAACGAAACAATGTCCGATCCTGGGCCAACCTCAGTACCGCTGCCACACTTTAGTCCATCCATGGCACCACCTGGCCAATCCATCTCATTGGAGTCTTCCTCTCTTTCTCCGACCCTCCATCTTACCCAGCATGATATCCTTCTCCAGCGACTGTTCCCTCCTGACAATATGTCCAAAGTATGAGAGACGAAGCTTGGCCATTTTGGTCTCTAAGGAGCACTCAGGCTGCACTTCTTCCAAAACAGATCTATTGGTTCTTTTGTCAGCCCATGGCACTTTTAGTATTCTCCTCCAACACCACAATTCAAAGGCATCAATTCTTCTAGGATCTTCCATATTCACTGTCCAGCTTTCACATCCATATGAGATTATTGAAAATACCACGGCTTGGGTCAAGCTGACATCTTTGCTCTTCAACACTTTAAAAAATTCCTGTGCAGCAGATTTGCCTAATGCAATACGTAGTCTAATCCCTTGACTGCTGCTTCCTTGAGTGTTGATAGTTGATCCAAGAAGAATGAAGTCCTTGACAACTTCAATCTTTTCTCCATTGATAAAAATGTTGTTATTGGTACAGTGGTGAGGATTTTTGTTTTCTTTACATTGAGATGTAATCCATACCGAAGGCTGTGCTCTGTGATCTTCATCAATAAATGTTTTAAGTCCTCTTCACTTTCAGCAAGCAAGGTTGTATCATCTGCATATCGCAGGTTGTTAATGAATCTTCTTCCAATCCTGATACAACATTTTCCTTCATAGAACCCAGCTTCTCGTATTATTTGCTCAGCATACAGGTTGAATAAGTATGGGGAAAGAATACAACCTTGTCACACACCTTTCCCAATTTTAAAACATTCAGTGTTCCCATGCTCTGTTTAAACAACTGCCTCTTGGTCCAGGTACAGATTTCTCATGAGTACAACTAAGTGTTCTGGAATACTCATACTTTGCAATGTTTTCTATAGCTTGTCATAATCCACACAATCCGCCAGATATTAATTGGCTTTTCTCGGTGATTGTAACTTGCCCCAGGAGTAGACTAGGGAACCAAGATATGGTACTAGGATGGGGGCAGGAAAGGTCATCCCGACATATTTCTGGGCGATAGAAGACATGTACCCAGCCTGAATGATCCCCTACTGAGCAGTGCTGTGCTTCCCACTCTTCAGAGACCCACGCCTAACATTACTTTTCCGTTGAAACGGCGTGTCACACTGAGCCCACTAGGGGGCGCACACACCGTGGGGATGAGCCCCTTCAGGGACGAAGCGTGTGCTCTTCAAGAGATGCCAGAGCACAAGGTGAAGGGGGCTCAAAGGAATGTGGTAACAGTAATTGTTGTTATAAATGGCCCTACTTCTACCAATACAGATGAAACACTGAGCGATCCTGTTCTCTCTTCATGATCCTTGGTATATTTGAGTCCATTGTTGCAACTATTGTTTTGTTGTTATGGGCCGTTGAGTGGATTCCAACCCATAGCGACCTTGTATAGGGTTTCCAAGGAGCGGCTGGTGAGCTTGAACCACCAACCTTGCAGTTAAAAAGGCTTTGCAGTCTAGCGCATTAACCCACAGCGCCACACCAGGATTCCAACTATTGTGTAGTGCCTTCCAATTCATAGAGTCTTGGTATGGCACATTAGGATAAGCACTGGATTGCCAGCTGCAAGGTCACTAGTTCAAACTCACCAGCTGCTTCTCGAAAACCCTGTATTGGGCACTTAACTACAACAGTACCACAGTTGACAGACGCATAGTGGGTAACAATAAAATCGCATTCACCATGCATTAGATACTTTGTTTACAGTCCCTTGGCTAAGCAATTTAAATATCTTACTGGTGTGATGCTGTAGGAAAAGCACGGGACTGCTTGTTAACCTGGCAAGGTCAGTAGTTCAAACCCACCAGCTGCCTCTGAAACCCTATACATAATATGAGTTGGAAGGAACTCGACCGCACTTAACAACAACAATGTTGTTTTAATTCCTGATTCGCAGTTGAGGAAACAGGCCGTGGGTAGACTCTGCTTTGGAAGGAGTAAGTAGAAAAGAGCCCTTTGACCTCGTGGGGCAGGCGGGGTAAGGAGCAATAATGAGATACGTGCCCTGGTAGCGCAGTGATTAAGCACTTGACTGATGACGAAAGGACAGGTCAGGGGTGACAGCTACTCCACTGAAGAAAGATGTGCTCGTTTGCTTTCATAAAGATTGTTGTTAAGTGCTGTAGAGTCAATTCCAAATCATAGTGACCCTGTACAGGGTTTCCAAGGAGCAACGGGTGGGTTTGAACTGTACACCTTGTTGTTCGCCGCCCGGTGCTTATCCTACAGAACCACAAGATTACGGCGTTAGAAACCCTAGGGTTCAGTTCTATTCTGCCCTAGGGCTTTTTGGTGTTTCTGGTTTTTTAAGGTTGGCTATATTCAGAGCATGAAAAGGCGGTGACTCTAGACGATAAGTACTGGACTGTGAAGTTCCACGGGAGAAAAATGAAGATATTTGCTATCGCAAAGATTTACAGCCTCAGAAACTCTATACAGATCCCACCGGATGGTACTTCCCAGAGGGAGAGGCGAATCCTGTCTTGGGGTGGATACTGGTCAGAAGGTAGGGGGTGCTACTTCCCCCTACCCACAGTCTCTCTGGGGCACCCAATCCCTTTGTGGGGTGGGCAAGGTGATAACAGCTCTTCCCTCAATGCACAAAGAAGTCTCCCTGCAACCAGACACCAATTACAGCCCTCCCAGACCGGCAGCTGCAAGCACGCACGCACGCACGCATGCACGCACGCACACACGCAGGCACGCACGCTGCGGGGGCGTCAGGCTTGTCCACACCCCCTCGCTCCTCCCACGTTGTTTTCCAGTCTCCGGCCAAGAAGCAAGAGGGGTGGGGGGTAGGGACAAAGGCCAATAGTGCCATCTTCCAGGCTGGGCTGCTGCCTTCTTGCTAGCGTGGGAACAACTGCCACTTGCTCCCCCATCCCTCTCCCATCTTAAGAGTGGGCGCTGTCACTGTGGGTCATTTTTTTCATATGTAGAAATGGGAAGTGAGCCCGGAACCACGGAAATTACAAGGATTGAGGGTTGATATCCCGAAATTTGGGAGGGCCAAGACCCAGTCCTGACAAGTATGCTGAGAACACTGAATATTTGTGGTTGGGGTTCCCATACTTGCAAATAGTGTCGATAATAGATAATATTGCTGTCTAGAGGAACCCTGGTATTCGGAATATTTGAGTGATGGATTTTAATTGTTTGAATATTGTCAGGATATTTGAGAGTCCCCAGATTTAGGCAAGAGTTTGGGTGCCCTCAATTTTGGACAAAAGCAACAAGCCCTTCATTGAGGGTGTCAGGGAGGCCCATGTTGGGGACAGGGGAGGGGAGAGGACCAAAACTCCCTATTTTTGAGGATGCTGGAAGCCCCACTGTTGAGGGGATCTGGCTACCTTCAAATCAGGGAAAGAAGAAACAAACCTTCCATTTGGGGGATGGTGTGGATGCCTCTATCTGGGGCAGAGGCCATAACCACACACTCTCATCCCATAGAGACCAGGAGTCCTGGCTTGTGCAATCCGGACCAGTAGCCCCCAGCCAGTTTGAGGACCCCACCCCCTCCTGTCTGTTTCCAGGAACAGCTGGGCCTGGGTTGAACTGCTGGGAAGCTGGTGACTCAACCCCTCCCTGCGGCCACAGCTGGACCCCTGCCCACCCCCACTGGCCTTCACATCAGGGCAGGGACCCAGTCATCAGGGCTGGGATGGATGGGACCCTGGGTTCATACAACAGGAGTACAATGGCCCACCCCCTCCCTTTGGCTGACTATAGCTACTTGAT